AAAATATTTAGGCTTTTAACAACTATTTTATCTCTTTCCAAAAAATCACATGTGGATATAACCCTAAGAGGTTTTTAAGCTCTTAAATAGCTTTCAAAATACTATTAATTTTAATATTTATTATGAATATCCTTTTGAAAAATCCAAAGTCTACCTAGATGTCATTAAATAACTTAAAAAAAAATAAAGAATACATTTTATTAAGCCAAAGTAGCTCCATTTTAAAGACATATGAGTAAATGTTCAAATAGACTAGATCTTCCTAAAGCTATTTTTTATACTTTTAAACTAATGTTAAATGTATTTTCTGCCTATGCCAAAGAAATACGCATGCTCTTGGTAATTTATGCCAGAAGTAGTTTTATAGGAATCAGGTCGTTTTGTTTGTCTGTTTTTACTTCCTCCATGGGGGAAATTTTCTTCTAAATCTAAATAAATTTGCTCCCAACAATTCTACTCAAGGCGATAACACACCTAAAAACAACAAAAACCTAACGATGTATAGAGACCCAGGGCATGCAACTTTGTATCCTCTAATAATAGTGGCAGAAAGTAACTTTCAGCTATCATTACAATCCAACTGTACTTAAAGATAGATGCGTCTCATAAAATTAGCACTCTACAGGAAAAATGTCTATGAAGAAAGTTGTCCTCATTAGAAAGACTGTGCCAAAATTTCCATAGCAAACAGAACTATCCAACCACAGCGGGTATTTTGTTCCTATCCCCGATCTGAAAGTGCACACACTGAACGCTGCTCGGAACCAAAGTAAGGTCTGGCAAGTTGAAGAAGAGCCCACGTTTTTTTAACTCATTAAAGGGCATTATACGTGTATCATCTGCAGCTGGAAAGAGTTCTTCTGAACGAGCATCTAGGTCAGCGGTTCCAACCTGTGGGTCACGACTCCTTTTTAACAATGAAAATATGTTGCTGTGTTCAGAAAGTTGAGAACCAATGATCTAGGTAAAGACAGGACCCAAAGCTGTTTCCAGCTCCTAGCCCTGCTTTCTGTAGGTATTAGCAGCAGTTGACCAGAATAACAAAATGTAGCCCACTCTGGGAAACCAGTCAGATGATTTCTGTAGGTATTAGCAGCAGTTGACCAGAATAACAAAATGTAGGCCCACTCTGGGAAACTGAAGTCAGATGATTTTGCACTTACATTAGTCAAATTCATTTTTAAAATATTACATTATCATAAAGTCAGCAGAGAATAGAGATTCTATAACTCACAAGTAATGGGGGGTAGCGAGGATGGAGGGGGTATGGATGTGGGAGAAAGGATTAGTCAACTAAAAAGTGCATGTTTTTCCAAAGCAGGTACAGGAGGTCAAGAGGGGCTCACTAGAGCCTTCTAGAAGTTTTACTCATCTCTATGTTTTGATCCACCCACTTGTTGTAACTATCCCTAGTCTGAATTCTCACTGACAAGTTGGTGGCCAGCTGGTGGCAATCATGCATCTGTGAAAGCTATCCTCAAAGTGATCCAGGGTCACCTCCACACCTTCGCCCTCTAAATGCTGGGCACACGCAATCCCGTCGTCCCTCAGGACATCATGCTTCCACATCAGAAGGTGGAAGGGGTGGAAGGTCTTTGGGAGGTGCTATAGTACCCCTTGGTCTGTGATGAGTGGGGCGGAGTGGGCACCCAGCAACTGAGGGATCTGCTGGACAATCCTGCCTGCAGTCTAGTGCTTTGTGACAGACGCAGGCAAGAGGGCCGTCCAGTGTAGACGAGCCCTGAGCACAGTGGCCTCTTCCACATCCAGCCAAGTGTGATCGTTAACTGTTGAAGCTGGCACAAAATCAGTGCTGCCTTTGAGGTAGTCCACCCAATACTTCACCGTGACGGCAGTGGGGCAGGATTGGGGTGTTCACATTTTGCTGATAAGAGGGTGTATTAATCTAAATATTGAAGGGCTGGATAAATTAAGACTTGCAGTTTGAGCTTATTTTTTTAGGTTGGTGTCTTGATTAAGCTGCTGTCTGAGGGCAGTGGCTAAATTTCCACCAGCACTGCCACCAGAAATGCAAATGCTGCCTGAATCCACCATTTACTTCCCTAAGTCTTTTGGCTGCAGGAAATGCTTTGCGGCACATACAACATTGTGAATTTGCTCAGGAAAATAAGCCTTTGGGACTAGCCGTATTCAGTGGAGACAATGACAGCATTCAGTTCCTCAGCCATCGCTGTCCAGGGCTCCTCAGAATACCTGACTTTTACCCTTGCCAGGGCCCAGCCCTCTCCGTGGATATAAACAATATCTCCTGCATTTCTTCTGGCTTTGGAGGGCCTTCAAGTTCTCTGACTTCCTCACCAGCAAAGTCAGTGTCCGTCACCCTCACTTGGGCAGACAACTATGCGCTCTTTTTTGCCAAAAGAAACAATGATAAAATTCAGTGCAAGCAGGTGAGGGCTCAGTTCCAGGCAGTGTATCAGATTACTCCCTTGCCTTGTACCCCAGAAAGTCCTGTCCTGCAGCATCAGCTGCTAGAGATTGGACACAGAGCTTGGCAGTGGGGTTCAGACATAACAGGCCGCCAGTGCCACCCACACTGGGAGCAGCAAGCACATGACACCCTCAGCCTCCCCTGGCTCTGCCTGCCCATGGGCTGGCGAGGAGGAAAGGACGATGCCACCCAAAGGCCACCAGCAAGTTGCTGCCAGTGGCAGCCGCTGCTCATTTACCTATAAACGTACTATTTAGAAATATATACTTGGGCCTTCATGAAGAATTAATGTTGATCCTTCCCCTGACAAAACTCTCTCCATAAGACCTTGTTCTGTGTCAGAAGAACAAGGCACAAACAGTGTTCTTATTTTTCTCTGATATTGTACAATGAAATTGATGTAAAACAATGAGCAAAAATTTTAGGTATCTGTCTTTAAGAAAAAGTACTTGCAGATCTGAGAAAAATACTTTGTGTCAGCATTGAGCTGCAATAGCAGCTAGATAGTATAGGAAGAAAAATGCAATACTTTGTGCAATAAAGTATAAGCTCTCAGAGAGACAAATCCACCCGAGGGGCATCTGGGACAATGTCTTATACCTGAGGGTTTAATACTACTTTAACAAAGTAAGAAATACTACTTTGTTCTCTCCTTTGAGTTACAATGTTATTTAAATCTATACTAACTCCATTTTAAACTCTCTTTTATAATGCCAAGTAAGGTACACTGTCCAATCAAGTCACTTATGTTTTGCACATTTTTCGTAGCATTTAGTGAGGTTGAAATATCCACTCACTGTTCACCTTGAATAGAGATAGACTATTTTTCACATTATTAGGCTGCTGTTTAACAGTCTAAATGCCTTTTGCCAACCCGTTCTTAATCAGGTCCCTTATTTTTGAATGTATAGGCCAATACAATTTATTATTAACCTGTTTTGTATCTAGGGAAAACATCTATGTGTACACTTATGTGTATTTCTCAACCAAAAATGAATTTTGATTGTCTTTTGATTTCTGCAGACCCCCACCTTCACTCCCCCTGTAAGCTACTGTGAAGGTGTGAGGCTAAGGGAAAGACATAAGAAAGAATTCCCACGTCTGGATTCCCGCCCCTCTTCTCGGGGCCTGCCTCTGATCAGGAAGAGCATCCGTGCACTGTAAGCAAAATTTGGTCTATGTCTATAACAGGTACACAACTATAATAAGATAAAGTATTGGAATATAAAGGTGACTCCAGGCAGGAGTTTTCACATCTGTTGGTGGTGAAGAGTAAATCATCTGGGTACTGTACAGCCGGTTACTAAATAAGAATCATGATCGGAGATGCGGGAATTTAAGAAAGTATTAGGAGTCGTGCTGATGGTGGAGCAAGGGACTAGGAGAAAGTTCAGCATGACTTCCAAGGACAAAGTGTGCCTGTGGAAAATAATTCCTAAGAGGAAAGCAGGGGGTCCCAGGCTAGAAGCATAGATGAGAATGGATGGTGGGATCTTCAGTGCCTAGATAAGGTTTTTATAGGGAAACTGGAGATTTCTGAGCAGGGGAATGACAGTGACCAGGGAAACAAACACACATTTGGGGTCTATCAAAATTGTCTGGGGCAGAGGTAGGGAGCAGCTCAGCCAGGGGCAAGGCCTAGTGGTTCTCACATTTTAGTGCAAATCGGAGTCATTGGGGATGTTGACTCATTAAAATTGAGGATTTGGACCCCCCTCCCCCAAACCCCATTCTGATTCAGCAGGTCACTGACAGGAGTATCTAACTGATACGGTTAGGTAATGACTTAGCCTTTCCCAGGTGCTGTTTCCTCATTTGTAAAATGGGGGCAATATGACTGGGAGGATTTGTTTTAAAGGGTGGACAGACTTTGGCATGTTTTACAGTTGGGTTGATGAGGCTGGAATAGAAGGATGGTGGCAGTCACATTGGAAGGACATTTTATTTTTTCCTCTTATGGTCTTATGTTCTATCGTTTATATTTATGTCCAGGATTTTCTGCAGTACGAGATCTTTCAGGGCAGAGGATTTGGTCATCATTGTGTCCTCCAGATAGTGTAACTGAATGAACACGTCCCGTCACTCCTTCCCTCTGGCTCCTTTATGGTCATCACCAATCACACTATACCCTTGAGCTCTTCAGGGCAGGGGCGATAGGTTCACTAGTCTCTCCAGTGCCTGGTGTTCAATCAGTGCTGCTTTAGGGAATATATACATGAGAAAATGGAAGGATAAATGTGGAGTTGGAGGATGACGTGCCCACTAGTCATGGCTGGATTATAACCCAAGTCACTTGTCTGAGACCCTGGTCTCCAAGGACTGTGCCACACACAATGCAAGAAGCTTTGCCCGCCACCTTGAGATGGATCTCTCTGAGAGGCTGTGGGCACCAACTCGCTTAGAACGTATTTCTGTGAGATTATTTGAATAAGCTTAGCACTGGAAGTTCAATTTTGGCACCACGCTACATGACACTAATAAGCAGCCACTTCACAGAATCTTTTTTTTCCTGTTCGCTGAAAAGGGCTTTGAAATTCCATTTAATGGTGTGCTCACTTCAGCAGCACATAAACTGAACATTGGAAGGTGGTAGAGAAGATTAGCATGGCCGCTGCACAAAGATGTCACGCAAATTCGTGAAGCATTCCGTATTTTTTAATGAGTTTGATGTAAGCATTCCACATTGAATATCAAATCAGCACACTGTATCCTATAAATGTACACAGTTATGATTTAATTTTAAAAAGTTTCAGTACATCTATTTCATTCAACACAATGTGGTTTTATGTTTGAGTTATCAGAATGATGGCTTATTTAAAAATCATTATGACAGAATTTTTAAACTTCGTTTTCAATTATTTACCTTTTCATTTCACTAGAACTTATCTTATAAATTCATTGTAGTTAACAAGATAATAAAACATTGTTAGAGAGGAAAAATCAGTCTTATAACGATGTTGCTCATCCAGATTAAGTCATGGAAATGAAATGTACAGAAAATTTTTAAAAAATTCTAGTTAATGTATTCACTGGCATGTTCCAGAATTCAGCATTGTGGGGGAAGGAAGAGACCAAAATAATCCTTCTTAACTTCGTATGAATTCTATGATCAATCATTCGGTTTAACTCAATCAAGCATGAGGAGCCCTCATGGAAAAAAATGACATATGAGTATATCCAAATGACACGCCAGATAACAGGCCAGGTAACACCTACCATTGTCATAACAGTTATTTGACCTAAGTCAGGAAATATATTCCTTCATTGCTTCATTCATTCAGCTGCTGACTGAGTGCGGACACTACTTCCCAGGCACTGTGCTGCGTGCTGGGGATACGAAGAGTAAGGCACCCGCCTGTTGAGCACAAGGCACTTAGTCCCTCATCTTGTAGGAGTTCTTATGATTGAGCTTTGAACTATTACATGTGGACTTAAACTCACTGACAGCCCCAGAATATGTCCTACACTCAGGCTGACTTTAGAGACCTGTTAGGACCCCATCCCTGGAGATTTTTTTGGGAGGGAAGGGCTTAGACAGTTCATATAAATGAAATGAAAGGGTGACTCCTACACCATTCCAACTCTGGGGGAATGCCTCAGAAAAGGACCAAGTTATACCAGCATCATTTGAGCCTCCTCATGTCTGCCCAACTCTGATCCAAATTCCAGCATGGACATCAAAAAAATTAATAAATAAATACCAGGTTGCAGTGGTTCCAAACACGTGGTGCAACTGATACCGGAAAAGTGGCACCCCAGCCAGCTCAGCCCAGTGGGGCTTGGGGACCTGCCACCTCTGTCTTGGTGGCAGCAGCCATCAGAGGAACCAGCAGGTTGGAGCAAGTGGATAGGAGCTTCCCTCCCCCACCAGAGGCTCCAGTAGAGTGGTGCTAGAAGGCCTACCAGCTCTGCCTTAGCGGCAGCTGGCATAGAAACCAACAGGCTGGAGCAAAAGGGGGAGCTTCCCTCCCCCAACAGAGGCTCCAGTAGCCAAAAGAACCAACCAC